CCCCTCCTCTCCCCGCCGCCCCCCCCGAGCTGCCGCCCCCGGCTTGAGGTGGAGGAAGAACGGGGATGCGGGGGGGGATGGGGGGTGTGAAAGGAGGAGGGGGGGGGGGGGGGGGCGGTGCTGAGGCCGCGCCGCCGAAGTTGAGCGCAGAACAAAGGGCAGCGCCCGGCGCCGCACGGAGCCCCGCGGGCACGGCCGGGCCCCACCGCCCACAGAGCGACCGCGGCGGGGGCAGCGCGGGGCCTCCCGGAGCCCAACCCCCGCCCTCCCCCCTTCCCTCCCCCCCCCCCCCCTCGGAGGAATTGGGGCCGCGCAGGGGAAGGGGAGGGAGGGAGAGAGGGGGGGGCCGCTCCGTACCTGTCTTTGTGCAGCAGCGCCAGGCGCTCCTTGGGCACCTTAAGGCGCTGCGACAGCCGCCGTTTCAGCCCCTCCACCGTCTCGTCCGGAGGAACGGCCACTTCGTACCGCGCCCCGGTGGTGGTGTGGATGCAGAGGTGGACGGGGCGCTCCGCGGGGAGAGGATCGCAGGGGGCGGCCCCGCGGCTGCAGCTCCGAGCGCCGGGCTGCGGCTCCATGCGGCCTGAGGGAGGAGCGATCGGTCGGTCGGTGCGGGACAAAGAGCGGCGGACGCGGGGAGCAGCCAACCGAGCGGTGCGGGTGTGTGTGTGTGTATGCGGGGGGGGGGGGGGGGGCACCCCCCCGGGGGCCGCGTTCCCACCGGCGAATAATTAAAAAATATAAATCCCAAAAGGAGAAGAATAAATCCCGGCGCGGTTCGGAGCGGAGCGCTGCGGGAGGATCGCGGTGCAGCGCCCGGGGCCGGACCCGCCGAACCGGCAGCGCCGCGCAGCCCTGCGAGCGCCGGGGGGCGGGGGGCGGGGGCAGCTCCAATGTAGCAACGTCCCGGGGGCGGAGCCTCGCCCTCATTCACTCCGTCTCCTCCGGCCTTCCCGACCAATCCGCGCCCTCGCAGCTCTCCGACATCCGCGGGTTTGAGCCAATAGGAGGCACGATCCGGTTCCCCACGTGGCAAGGTGTGGGCGGGGCCGTCCGGATTCCTCCGCCCACGCGGCGTTAGGCCACGCCCCCTCCGCCCCCCGCGCGCCCTCGCGCCGCTCCGCGCGGCCATTCATAATCCGCGGCCGCACAACAAAGGGCCCCGCGCGGGGGGGGGGCGGCGGCACCGAGCGGCGCCGATGGGGCGAACGGCCCCGAAGGGGGAACGCGGAGCACCGGGAGAAGCTCCCCCCCCAACCCCCACGTCAAGAGCCCCCACCCGGAGCCGCGAGGCTGAGTGACGCGGAGCGGAAAGGGCGGAGGGGGAACGGCACAGCCGCCGCACCCGGTGCCCCTCCCCGCACCGCCCGGTACCGCCGCTGGGAAGGGCTCCTCCCGCCCGCAGCGCCC